TCTAGACAAAAATTTCATCACAGCTTGAAAGAGCATCACAAAATTAGTAATATTCCAAAGTTTCGTTACGAAATGTTGTAAAATGCGGATAATATAGCCCTGCGAAGTTTGGGATACCCGATTTGGGTATCAATTTCCCGTTTGTAATCTAAAATGACTGAAAATTGCAAATTTCGCAGGGCTATATTATCCGCATTTTACAACATTTCGCAACGAAACTTTGGAATATTACTAATTTTGTGATGCTCTTTCAAGCTGTGATGAAATTTTTGTCTAGATCAAAATTTTAGTTATAAGGTTAAAGGTCCATTGCGCATTCTGCGTGGTGTGTCATGTCAAACATATACAGGATTATATAATAGTTTGTTTGTGGAAACACCACGTTAATTTATTTGCAGTAATAAATTTACGTGGTGTTTCCACAAACAAACTATTATATGTTTTATCGCCATGCAAACATACAAAGATTATATACAGGATTACAGCTAATTGCATTAAGGTTGCCCGCCGACAAAGCTAGAAGGTAAAAGCCAAGCGGGAAAAGTACGATGGATGTTATGAATTAAATATTCATCTCGCAAATTCATCTACGGAAAAAGCGTGACCAGAAAGGCAAAGCTGTTTGAGTAATAGACTTTATGCATAATGACGTCATAAGGCTTGATGCCCGCGAGGAATGCTGGTCTCAGTAGTCATCGCCCGGGAAAATTAAACAATTCAAAATGGCCACTATCGAAATTTTCCCAGGCGATGACTACTAAGACCACCATTCCTCGCGGCCATCAAGCCTTGTGACGTCATTATGCATAAGGTCTATTGAGCCCGTTGCGAACGCTAATATATTAATTGCTAGGAATACGATAAAATAATTTTAAGCGATTCCCCTGTTAACCAGGAAATTATTGTTATCGAAATCCCCTCACAATGATCAATCTGCATAACAAATGCGAACAAGAATTTAAAGTTTGGTCCCCGAGCTTGGACGTTATGCAAAATCGTCTCTTAAAACAAGTTGAATACCTCTTACGAACTGCAGTTACCGTTTTGTGTAAAAATACCTCGTGCGTATACAGTCAATATTTGCATGGCTATATTATCCGCATTTTACAACATTTTGCAACGAAACTTTGGAATATTACTAATTTTGTGATGCTCTTTCAAGCTGTGATGAAATTTTTGTCTAGATCAAAATTTAGTCTATAATGTAAATGGTCCATTGCCACGAATTAATGGGGCGAAAAACACAAGGTCCTCTCATGCACATGGGAATTTAGGATAACTTGTGAAATGATGGTTTTTGGTACTGGAAAAAGATTATCTGCACAACCTCGTCAATTGAGAGTTGAATATAGAGGGCAACCTATAAATACAACAGTCCTACAAATATCTTGGTTACGTACTTGATCCTGGTCTGACACTTAATGGAAACTTTGAGGCAGCCTATAAAAAAGCTAGTAACCGAGTACGACTATTATCAAGGATCCGTAACTATGTGACACCAAGTGTGGCGACGAAGATATATCAAATGATGATTGTACCAATAATTACGTATAGTAGGATGGTCAAATTATTTCTAACTGAGACGAAGCGACGAAAGCTTATGTCCATTGAAAACCGAGCACGAGCAATTATTGGTGAAGAAATATACTTGCCTGATCTGGATAAATTGATAAGAAAGAAAGCGTGTTGATGTTTTACGAAAATGCTTGGAAAAAGATATTTGCAGTAACTTCTATAATTATTTTGAAATTAATAACCATAGTCATAATACGAGAAACAGAAATAATATGATAAAGCTACCAAAAGTAAAGCTTGAATTTGGTAGACATGCTTTTCGCTTTGCAGCGGCAAGAATTTATAATGACTTGCCTTGCGAAATTCGAGCTGAAAAGGACAGCAAAATATTTAGGAAACTGCTAGAAAATTATTACCAATGATTAAATTATAGTATATATTATTAATATAGATTATAGATTATTTAGTATGGACTATTTAGTTAAATAGAGGACACATATTGATAACAGTAGATTACTGAAATGTTTATCCTCTGTAAAGATTTTGAAATACAATACAAATACAGTTTGGATCGTATTTGTGTAACGTACTTTAGACCTTGGGAAGTGAAATATCAGTTTACCGTTATCCGCGCGCGTGAAATGTTTCATTATTTCCTGATTTTTTCATTATTTTTTATTACCCTCCTGGATTTTTGTGAAAATATTTCAAAAACATTTTTTCGTTGGAAGCCCCCCTTGACAAATTTTCCCGTGGCAAAATAATAAGCGTACATGAAGTAGGTTCCATTTAGACCAATCATTGTTCGAGGTAGGTAATCTTCGAGTTAAGCCTTTCGAGTTATTAAGCCCTGACCACGCCTAAACCACACCCATTGTCGTCAATGGCTTAACTCGAAGAAAGAAACACAACTTGGAAAGTTCGAGTTAAGCCCCGTGAAAAAAGAGTGACTTAACTCGAAGTCATTGAAAATATTCGATGTAAAAGAGCCATGATTTGAGTCGAAATATAACCTATTTCGCGTAATTAAGAGGTCAATTTATTCGTAGTGACCTCAGAGGTATAAAATCTAGTCAAAAATAATCTGTCACTTAATGAAAATTGACTGTTTATACGAGTTGTTCGTGACTCATTCAGGCTGCAGCTTATTTAGGCCGAGACGTAGAACTATTTCCAGCTAGATTGTGGACGACTCAAATCATTGATCTTTTACATGCCTCAATTGACAAATATCGGGACTTAACTCGAGCGTCGAATATTTTCAATGACTTCGAGTTAAGTCCCTCTTTTTTCACGGGGCTTAACTCGAACTTTCCAAGTTGTGTTTCTTTCTTCGAGTTAAGCCCTTGACGAAAATGGGTGTGGTTGGGGCGTGGTCGGGGTTTATAATAACTCGAAAAGGGCTTTAACTCGAAGGGGGTTAACTCGAAGATTACCTACCTCGAACAATGATTGGTCTAAATGGAACCTACTTCATGTACGCTTACTATTTTGCCACGGGAAAATTTAGGTTGGATTAAATCGATCAATACAAGAAATACTGGCAATGTTCAATGTTCAAACATTTCACGCGCGCAGATAACGGTAAACTGATATTTCACTTCCCTTGGTCTAAAGTACGTTACACAAATACGATCCAAACTGACCCAAAATTACAAATAATTTTATGATTACAGTAGTACAGTTCTCACCTTCACATACAATAGCGGCTAAAGACAAAAGTCTCGCATACTACAGCCGCCAATCGCCATTTTGAAAAATATTGCATCATTTATTAAAAATCAATCCGTCAAAATGCTGTTTATTAGTTGTATTTAGAAAATATACTCGTCTGCAGTCGTTTGTTGTTGTCTGTTACTTGTCTGTGCTTGTCTGTTACTTGTCTGTTACTAGGGTGTAGTTTTAGAAACGATCTTTGGGGTCTGCATGCAAAAATCTTTAGAACTAAAAGTACATTATTTTGAAAAGCACATATTGTAATTCAGGACTCGGTTGTTTACGAAATCCACTTTCAGGGCCAGGAAAAAAGAATTTTCTTCCTGGGAGCACAACCTCGAGACAAAAATCCAGCAGACCAACGGAGTATTTTTGTGCTAAATCTGCATGTAAATGAACATATAGTGTTCCTAGCTGACCATGGTTTTAAATTAAAGGAATAATGTCTGTCAACCATATGTTGTTGCGCCCATAGGTGGGACATGGGTGTTTCCTTCAGATTTTCAATAGCAAATCTTCATTCAAACGAACTTCCTGCAGCTGTTTAACATTTCCTATGAGCAGTGCTCGCGTGCTCGCCTATTTTTCCCACCTCTGTCCACTTTAAAAATGGCTTGCGCACAAAAATGGCTGATTTCCACTGTTGCGTTTTTCGTGAATCGTTCTATTTTTTAAATATTTAACAAATAAGTTAACAGATGCATTCTAAAACTTACGGAACACTAAATTCTGTTGCTTTATTTATTTGGTTATTTCATAAGTAACATTTAAACGGATTTAAAGTTTTACGTGCGTATACGTCATAGATAAGATATCTATCAATCTATGGTATACGTACGTATGAAAAACGCAACAGTGGAAATCAGCCTTAAAACGCAATTTCAATTCAAAGGGCACAAATTTAGAAGGTGTTTTATGAACAATCAAACGTGACCTCCAAAACTTGGACTTTTTCCATAGTAGCCTTTCAGCCATAATTTTAAAACTTTTTGTACAAAAATCGACCATGCATACAATCAATCAATCAATCATGTATAAAATCAGTCTTGCGTTCAATAAATAGTGCGTCAACGGCTAATACGGCAAAAGTCCAAGTTTTGGAGGTCGCGCATTGGACTCAGCGTACATCAAACTGTCCGGTACTTCGGATAGTTCATAAAGCACCTAACAAATTTGTACATAAGCAGCAACAATAATATGGCACATTGCACCTTAATGGAGTGATGTCACCATCAGTGCCGGCGAGAGGGATAGCACTTTGCCACGGGGACCCAGCTCAAACAGAGACCCCAACGCGATGAAGTCCCTTAAATTTTCTTGCTACAAGATTGCTTATCTGAGTTAACCCATTAAGCGCCAGCGCTCTCTCTTGACGAGTAAAATCGTCTGGCGTTAGATAGAGTAAAATGATAAAGAGGGACATATCAGGGCGTAATGGGTTAATGTAAATCCTAGCTGTGTCATTCAGCACCGGAAATTATGGAATATGCAATAACGGCACTTGTTTCTACAATATTGGTTTAGGTTTTATCTTGAAAAGAACCACAGCGTGTATATATATAGTAAAACACTGCTTCTCCTGTTTTACAATTAATAATAATAATAATAATAACAACGGTTTATTCACAGTATATCCATTACAAACAGAATGGCTCTTCAGCTGTAAAATTATCTACATTATACTAAATATACAGTAATCTATTATCATACAAGAACTACAAAAGTTAAAAAAGACAAATAATCCAATTGCAATGCAAATCGGAATCATTCACTGTTTTTGAGATGTTTTTTTATACAACGACAGAAAGTTCTATAATTGTTAATATTCCTGATTTATGCCGGAAGCTTATTAAAAATGGAGGCTGCTGAGTCTTGAAATGTTCCTGACTCCTTGGGAATATCCAGGACAGGTGCAGAAGATGATCTTAGACTATATACATTAACGCAATGTAGCGATAATCTTAAATATTCTGCAAAAGAATCGTCATGTAAAGCTTTATATGCTAATTTT